AACAAAATAGTAATAAGTAGTAAACTTAACTAAGTAATAGACAAACAAACGAACAACAACTAATAGGTAGTTAGTATCTGTAACGTAGTAGTCTATATATATATATATATATATATATATATATATATTGTTTCTTAAAATATGTAGTTCCTTCCTGAATGTACAGTTCAACATTTCAGAATAAAGATTCAGTGATCAACACCCTCAGTAACATTACGAAAATTGTGATTTATTAGCAGTGTAGAAATTTTTGGCCTTGAGCACTCCTCAACTAGCTACAACATAACAGACTTCTAGACCAGTATAGAAAGACAAAAATCTGTGCTACTAATAAATCATAATTTTTATTATTTCACTGAGTATGTTGATCACTGAATCTTTATCTTGAAAAGTCCGTATCTGTAACCACAGATCTAGTGTTCGGAAGTAGTCTAAAGTAAAGTAAGTTAACAGTAACTATTGTTGGTGAAATATACATGCAGTTTCTTATAACTTTCTTTGCTGGCAAATCATGAATCTGACTGCAATAATTAGATTTCATGTCTATTGAAGTACGAAAACATTTATTTACCTCATGTGATGTAGATAAGTAGAAAATGAAAAATTGATCAATTTTTATGAAAAACAACCTCCTCCGATAGTGACATAATTCAATGTTTTGTTCTTCAATTTAAGAAGTTAAGGTTATATTTGAATCTGAACCAGGAATAAACCAGTACAACTAAACAGCTAGTGACCTAGGGGTATAACATGTATCTTGTGGGGGGAAAAAAAGAAAAATGACAATACGGTAAATAAGTGTGTAAGAAAATTAAAAATGAAATATCTTTATTTAACTACTGGACCTTTGTTTTGTTTTTGTTTCAGTTGTATAAGTTATGTAAAAAAAAATGTATATTTGGGGAAAAGTATGCAGTTTCTGTGGGCCAAACCATCTCCAGTTGCTAAATTAGCATACGTTTAATATTTTATTTATTCAGTGATTATCTTTACACTTTATTTTACTTTCATTACTTTTGCTTCTAACATTATCTTAAGCATATATAAAAGTCAATACAGACATTTTTTATGTTATTCATTTTAACTAACTTTTAAATATTTTTGAAATATTGTATCATTTGCAGACAAACCAGCATGTTTGTTAAATTGGTTGTTTATGACAAATTTACAACAAAAAAAATCATTTGGATAATCCAAGTCACACTTAACCCTAGAATTATTGGTGGAGTCCGTATGGAGCCCATCAGATCTTTAAACACGTTTGTCAAAACTTTGTTTGCACTGAATTGCTTGTGGGACCATAATTTTTTTGGGTTACAGGCTCCAAAATAACAGTCACAAACAGAAAAACAAGATATACACTCAATATTGCAATGAACCCCATTAGTTACTGCTGGAGTTGCTTTTATATTTTAGGGATTGTTTTTTTTTTTAGTCATATCTCAGTTCTTCACAGTAAATGTTTTGAGTGCAAAAACATAGTTATTCAGTATGATGCAACATGTGTAGCCCACTGGTGTAAGCAAACAGTATGTAAACAAGTCATTAATTTTAGGGTTAAGATACAGCAAATTACTTGACCCATTACTATAGAGTTCATAATACAATGAAGAGAACAAAATTAATCTGGATTATTGAATACATATATTTTTGTTTCCTGTAAAAAATAAATTGTTTTTGCTTAAGAAATACTTAACAAGAATTTAAAAAACGTTTGTTTTGTGTATATGTCTGTATTATCTAGTAACTTATTCTTGGCAGAACTTTAAATTTTAATATTGAGGTGATAGTCCACTACATTATTTTCTCTTACGTTAAACAAGACAGATATTAACAATGTTAGGCCCGGCATGGCCAGGTGGTTAGGGCGCTCGACTCGCAATCTGAGGGTCGCGGGTTCGAATCCCCGTCACACCAAACATGCTTGCCCTTTCAGCCGTGGGGGAGTTATAATGTGACGGTCAATCCCACTATTCATTGGTAAAAGAGTAGCCCAAGAGTTGGTGGTGGGTGGTGATGACTAGCTGCCTTCCCTCTAGTCTTACACTGCTAAATTAGGGATGGCTAATGCAGATAGCCCTCGTGTGGCTTTGTGCAAAATTCAAAAACAAACAATTAACAATGTTTTTCTTACTCTACAGAAGGAGTACTTATAATCATTTAAGCAGCTGGCTAACAGATGCAAGAAATTTGACAAATCCGAATACTGTGAGTATTATTTCTTTCACATTAGTATTCTTAGTGTAGGACCAGGTTATAAAGATATTGTCTGTTTGTAATAGTTTCTGTGTTTTATAAAAAGCAGTGTAAGCTTAGGCCTCATATTATAGCCATGATTCTGTTTTAAGGCCCTTGATACTGAAAAATGAATTATTATTATTTTTTTGTACAAAATAATTGATATTTTGTTAAACTAATGCTTAGTTTATAATTACCAAGTATTTGTACAGGAAGATTATTTTTCTTAGCACTGTGTATCCGCTTCATTGGAGAGCTGAGGACACTTGTACTTACTTCCTAACTGTTACATATGGCTTAGAACATGTTACCCTCGTCTGCTTTCCACGGCTTCTTTGTATTTGGAGTAAGAGGACAAAATGTCAATAATTTATTGATCTGCTCCTCATAATGCATATCATATTAACATATACATCATGTGAAATGACAACAATCATTGGTTGGTGAATAGGTCAAAAGGGCCAATATTATAAGTAGGCCATTCATCATTTCTTGAGTAATTACTGTGACCCTTCTACGGAATAATTCCTAGTCAAAAATAAATGGAAACTACTGCCGAGAAAAAATTTCTGTGATAAGTATTTTTGTGTCAGATCTGTCTTTTGTAATTAGTCATACTTTAACCATCATTCAAACATCAGTTGATGATGTTGATGTGGTGAAAGTATTATGCTCATATATATAGCATTAGAAAAATAGGCTTAAGCTATTAACTTTTAATATTTTTTTTTATCGTGGGTTTCAAAAATATACAGATAATTTAGCTTTCCTCTTGCATTTTAGGAAAAACTTTACATCATCGGTATTTGTTAAATACCACAAAATCAGAATTTTTCAAGAACTTTCAAGTATTAAACCATGTTTTGAGACTTTTCAGATAAATAAAATTTTATGTCTTTTTATTTTTGTTGTTGGCTGAATATTTCTTGCTTAGATTAGTTTTTTGATCTTTGTAAGATAATTTAAAAGTCTTCATAGGTGATCTTCCTTATTGGTAACAAGAGTGACTTAGAAGGCCAGAGAGATGTAACATATGAAGAAGCCAAACAATTTGCTGAAGAAAATGGTAAGTAATTTGGTTTAATGGTTTTTGAGGTCATTCCAGTGAATTACCTAGATCAATAGATCTCAAGCTTTGTCACATTGAGCCTCTCTAAGCTAATAAATAAAACATCAGTTCCTCCTCACGGTTTACTATTTGAGAGATTCCACAGGGTAAAACCTGATGTTTCATTGTTGCTAAGGGTTGCCACCTGGCAAGACAAATAAAAATTATTTGCAACATTTTTCTTTTTATTCAGGTTATTTTTTAACAACTTTTTTTTTTCATGTTACCAAATTTTTAAAAAATGGTCACACAGCTGGTGTCTCCATTAACGTATTCCCAGAATGGTTTGAGAACTGTTTGTAGTTTTATATGGTCAGAGGATGAAAAAAATTGTTACTTCATGACATAATTATATACTTATAATTATTACTTCATACATTTTGACAACTGTATATATGACAATAAAAAAAATATCCAGCACTTAAAGACTTTTTTTGTAAAGCAATAGAGAATTAATACTGACAGCACCAAGATGGATGTGAGGTTAGAAACATAAAGAAAACTTACAGGTCCGTGAAGAAAAAAGCACAAAATTAGATAAGTATACAACTAAACCAAAATTAATATTAATAAGAAAACAAATATGAATACAGAAGTCCCCTCCCCCTCAGTAACTCAGCAGTAATTTTGAAGGTTTATAATATTAAAAAGCAGGTTTCAGTCCATTGTGTAGCTTTGTGCTTAACAGAAAAAAAATAAACTAAAACGAAAAAACTGAAATTTTTACTAATTTGCTTTTCAGACTCTCAAGTATTAAAAAAAAAAAGTCAGAAGACCCCTTCAGGGTCGTTTTAAGCTCTACATCCAACTTTGTACCGAAATGCTTTTTTTTTTCAACTGCTTATTTCCCCCAAAAAAGTTATAAATTTCCCTTATGCCCATGGAACCTAAAAAATGCTACTGACAGCGTTTTTATTATTGTAACCATTCTTTTTTTAGACTAAGGCACTTTCGGTATTTTTTTTCTATTGAATTTTAAAGCAGAATGAATTTTCATATTGTTTATTTCTTTGAAATATTATTATAAAAATATTGTGAATAAAATCTAATAACAGTTATCTATAATTTTATTCATACCAAAAAAATCTATAACCTGAGCACTGTTGGAAGGTGAACACGTTCTTTTACCAGGAATGAAGAAAGAATTTATTGCATTATCTACTATGATGCAAAAAAGGGTGGTCTTTGATTAACCTGATTCATACATGATTTTAAAAATCTGATGATGAAAATGAGCTATGAAATTCTTGTTTCATAATATTTCATTTCCATTGATAAGTTAAACTGAACATCTAGTGTTCAAGGCTGAAATAGCAATATTATCATAACCTCTCATGCTTTTTTTAATGAAAGCAAATGCACAAATTTTGGTTTCAGGTGCATTATTTTTAAACAGAATAAAATGATTAGAAAACAACAGTTGTTTATCAGATAATGTCAGTGTAAATTATTTTTATTATATTGTTTTTCAAGTATTTATTGTTTAGGAATGATTATTTTTAAGTTAGTGCTGAAGAAGCCTATTGTTCAATACCAGATTAAGTTCATTTTCAGATAGACTACACTACCAAATCCATCCCGATAAATTTTAGTATCGAGTAAAATAAACTTTCGAGCAATGCCACGTAACCAACAAAAAAAGATCTGAAATGTTATTTGTCATATGTCTGATTTTAAATTTGTGATGGAATAGGTTAGAGAAATGTAATTTTAAAGTGCCATCAGACAGTTTGCATTGCTTTTGTTATGCTAAATAAGCTTTTGTTACGCTAAATAAGCTTTTGTTACGCTAAATAAGCTTTTGTTACGCTAAGTAAGCTTTTGTTACGCTAAGTAAGCTTTTGTTATGATAAATATGCTTTTTTTTACGCTTTCATGCTCTGCAGATTGTGTTTTACATCAATTATCATATATTTTCTAACTTACCTACTGCCAATAGATAATCATAATGTTAAAGAGGTGAGGGTCAAACTTTAAGTTAAGTCCTTCGTAAATTTAATTCTTTTGCAGATTATAACAAGATGTTAAGGCTGTTGCAAAAGAAATTGTTTTATTATCATTCTACTTCCAAACAAAAGGGAATCCTCAATAGCCATGGCACTTGAAATTCTTTTAGACAGGACTAGAGTACATTAATGTATGAGACCTTTTTTCCTCTTTATTAGCCAAATTTTTGTGCACCAGCAATATCGAGTGTGGGGCACACGTATACCTAATTTGATTTTATTACTCATTAGGACCTCTACCAGCCTACTCTCAAATTTAAATTCTTTTAGGCAGGATTAGAGTAAGTTAATCTATGAGACCTTGAGTGTGGTAAATATATCAATTGTAAGGGTTTGACCTCCTAAGTCCAAAACTGTGATTAGATCTCTGATCATTCAAGAGATGACGGAGCTATGTGCTAAAAGTTTGAGCTTGAAAAACTCGGAACCATTCTATGACCCGCTCGCTATGCTGCGGCTAATTATTAACATATACATCTATGTGCAAATATTTTGAATACTTTTACACGTACATAGTAATCGTGTAATTTGTTAAATACTGTATAGGTATATTTGCTTACTGTTTTACATTAATGTAGTTGTGGAATGATTATAATTTTATTTCTCTTCTGAAGCAGCAATTTACATAGGGGTTTATAAAACTAATAATGAATTTGAAAAATTCAGATTTTACTGTCTATAATTAATTGAAAAATATGATATCAGTTGCTATGTCTCAAAAAAAAAAAGAGATTAAAGATTCAGAAACTTTATTTAACATCTCAAAATCAGAAATTTGACATTTCTGAAAATTATCATCTCTCAAAACTTCTTAACTTGCTATTATAAGTAAAGAACTCCTGGTATGTAGCTACTTGATATTAATTATTCCGCTGATGTATTAACCATATGAAAATGTTGGTTCAACTCGTATATAATTATTGTATTTAGAAAAGTAACCATATTTTTGCTGTAATTTATTTTCATTGGTATAAAAAAAAATAATAATAATTTGAGACATATGATGTAATTAAAAGTATATATACAGCTACAGACAAATAATGTAATATTCCTAGATTCATTATGTTTTATGAATTTTCTCTCTCTTTTTTTATAGGTTTGATGTTTGTAGAAGCTAGTGCAAGAACGTATGTTTTTTTTGTACAAATTTGTATTTACCATTTAAATTTTTATTGATGTATAGAAATGTTTAAAAAAATTTTTTTTGTGTGTGTATTAAAATATTTTATAACCAGTTTATACTATTTTATCAAAAATTTAGATGATTAGTTCAAGTTCCAAATTTTAGATAAAACTTTAAATGTGCAGATAAAAACAATTAAGTGGCAAGTAAATAGGTACTGTAATAAAACATTTTATCTCTAGTTTCTGTTCTTGTTGTAAAGAAAAGTTTCAAGGAATATTCTTGAGGTCAGTGGTTCTCAACCAAATTGAATTATTTTTTTTTATCAATATAATTTTTTTTGAACAAATTATATATGTATCAGGGGTATGCTGCTAGCTCAAAGGGTCTGACTAGGGGTACACTACATAAAAAGGTTGAAAACCACCGACTTGTGTAATGCTACATGTATGTGTACAATGAGTAATGCTCTGTTGTAAAATTAAGCAATCTGTGTGTATATATAACATTTATATATCAATATGTCTTGTGGTGTAGGAAAATGTTTTCTTGAAACCATAGAAGTTCCTTTTATACATAGAAGCCTGATAAGGGCTGGCTTTAAGTTTGTTGTTTTTAAATTTGTTTATTAATAGTTTTAATTTAGTTTAGAGGATGGGACAACTGAGATCGACCAATATGTTATGTTATTTACAGTTTATATTGTATTTATATTTGTACTTGAACTTTTGCATTCTCAGACAACTTTGTTAAATAGTTACAAACACTTTCATTTGACTCTAGCAGTCATTGTATTGGTATTTGATTGATTTTTGGCAGTGGTGTAGTCAATTTAATAAAACGTTTTTAATTTTTCTGAAATTGTACTTAAAATGTTAGACATCATAAATTAATTAAATGATGTTTTCATTGCTCGTGAAGTGGACAAAATGTAGAAGAAGCTTTTCTTGAAACAGCTAAGAAGATTTATCAAAATATCCAAGATGGAAGGTAAATGAATTTGAGAACACCTGGTTTTCTTTAATTTTTTATTTCACAAATGAAAAATCTCTTACATTTTTATAAGATTTTTTTTTCATAGAAATACTGGGATCTAAAGTAGAAAATATAGATATTTTGTCTATGAATGTAAAGATGTCAGTCCTTTGACAGTCACATTGAAGGGGATGATTGATCTGTCAGGTTGAAAGTGTCACCAATAGAAGTACTTAATTATTTGTTTAAAAGGCTTTTTATCATTTAAATTATCAAAGGAGGATTGAATCTTTTTAAACTCTTAATTTCTTAAAAATCTTTTTCCATTTTATGAACGTTATTTCATTGGAAAAACTGGAATCTTAAACATTTTATTGACGATCGTAAGTATGTTTATTCTCTGTGTGAAAGCCACATTCAGGATAAACGTTTCTCGACAATAAAAGTACTTTTTGATTTGCTCAAAGGTTGTTATCGTGTTAAAAGTTTGGGAACAATTGGTTAAGTTGTATTTTGTTAAGTATTGTTAACTTGCATATTGTTTTATCAGAAATAACTTTCCAGGTGTGATTATACATAATTAATTGTGCATTTCTTAACCTTGATTACTTTTTAAGTTTTAAAAGCATATATAAAAAACAATTTCCAAGTATCTATCTAGTTTTCTGCATGGAAAAACCAGTATTTTTGTGTTAACCCTTTCACTATGTGATTAAATTTCAGGGGCATTCCCCAAAGATGTCAATTCTCCATAAAAAGTCTTAGTTTATTACTTGTCCAATGTGAAATGGCCATAAAGTTTACGTATTTGGCATTACAATTTCTTGAAAACAATATTGAATGATGGAAATTTAGCTTTTGAACAAGAAAATGTGCGTAAGTTGTTGAAAAAGGTCCTCCATCATGTGACAGTAAAAATGGTGGCCAGTTGAAGACCAGGGAAGATCTGTCGATTGTTGCAGTAAAGGGAAATTGTTTTACACTGTTGTGGAGAAAAGTCCAATTCTACACTTAACAGTAATAAATGTGCAATTGACTTCAGTCGATTTTTTGCAGTTGAAGGGTTAAAAAACTAAATTTCACCAAAAACTAGTTATCATCATAGTTTAGCTCAGCATACACAATTAACAACAAAAGTACCTAGCAGGTGAGCTTAAATTCAATTTTGTTGAAGGGGTTAAAATTTTCTACTATTCATTGTAAGAGTGACGAGGTTCAAATATGTTCAGACATAGTTTAATTAGAAATGAACTTTTATTATTATTATTATTTAAGATTAACAGTTTTGTTTTATAACACTAAGGATATATCTAAAGAAAATATTTTTCTTATAGTCTGGACCTTAATGCAGCAGAATCAGGGGTACAACACAAACCCTCAGCTCCTCGAACTCTTAATAGTGATCAACTGCCCAACAAAGAAAGCTGTACATGTTAATAGTGTTGTTAGTGATCAAAAAAACTTATGGTAAGTATAAGTTGTGAAGTTTATGGGCACTTTTTTTTTGCTTTAGAAAGTATTTACTTAACTCTCTTTCCCAACTCTCTCTGGTATTACCTTGAAAAATATTACATAAAAACTCAATAAACCATTAGCAAGAGCAAAAATGACTTGCAATTATATTTTCTCAATTTTAATTTTCAAGTAAGTATACTGAACCGCAAAAGAAACGTCGCATATTTCAAAAACTATAATTTTCAAAAACATCGAAAAAATTAATTGATTTATTTTGGTTAAGGTAAATTACACCTAAACGATGCTACGATTATGTTTAAATCTCCGTTACGGCTGACTGCACTCATTAGTTCTGTTGTCCTAATGTTGGTTTTGCTTGGTCCGTGGGACATGTTCCGCATGAAAATTTTAAGATGATGATATGCACGTTGAATCTGTGCCTTAGTAGGGGTATTTAAAACTTTACACGTCTTAGTGTAATCATTATCTGTTTAATGCAGTACTGATGCCACGACTGAACCCAAGACAACGTGAAC